ATCTCTGCGTGATTACATCTTGGAGTTTCGAAGACTGGCGAATCGTACACGGGAAGTTACCCCATCTCTTTTGCGATCTTGTTTCATTGGTGGTCTTAAATCGGAGCTGCGTCATGATGTCAAAATTCTGAAGCCCAAAGATGTCCTTGAGGCCACTGCTTATGCTCAACAGATCGATGCCAAGTTGTCTGAATTAAAGGTCAAGTCTTTTCCTCGTTCATCTGTTAATTCTTCGTTTTGTCCTCCATTACAGAATGTTACTGATACTGTTGTGGGTAATAACAAATTAAAACATGAGAATGTGAGGAGATTGACACCAGACGAGGTCGAATATTGTCGAAAACATAGTATTTGCTTCCATTGTAAGGAAAAATTTGTTCGTGGCCACACTTGTGAGAAGAAACAACTTTTATTGATTGATGTTCAGGATGGTAGTGATAATGAAGCCTTTGACATTGAGAATTTAGAACCTGAGATTACAGCATGTGCCCTTTTTGGTTCCCCAGCTCCTAAGTCAATTAAAACCATGAAGGTTCTTGGTAGTATTAGGAATTGTCCGGTGGTAATACTTATTGATTCGGGTAGTTCCCACAACTTCGTGGATTCTGTTTTGGTCAAGAAAATCAATGGACAATTGAATACAGCTCATTCTTTTAGTGTCAAGATTGTGGATGGGGGACAAGTCAATACTACAGGTTCTTTAGGGGTTGTCTCACTCAAGATTCAAGACTATCAGTGTACTACTGATTTGTATGCCATGCCTTTGAGAGGTTGTGATGTGGTGTTAGGGGTTCAATGGCTAAAGACATTAGGTCCAGTCCTTTGGGATTTTGATAAACTGTACATGAAGTTCATGAAGGGCAATACCACTTTCTGTCTTTCTAGTCCAGAAGCACCGAGTGAACATATTCAGGATGTTTCTATCTTTCACATGGAAAAGTTGCTTCACCAAGAATCTTCGGTGGGTGCATTTCTCTTTCAAATTCAACAAGAGGACATGGTGGAACATAAGACTGTACTGTCCGCAATTCAATCTCATCAGTTGGAACAACTTCTGTAAGATAATGAGGTAGTTTTTATTGCTCCTACTTGTTTGCCTCCTCACAGATCACATGACCATAGAATTCCCTTGATAGAAGGTAGTAAACCACCTAGTATGAGACCTTACAGATATGGTCCTTTACAGAAAACAGAAATTGAAAAGTGTGTCCGAGAATTATTAGATGCTGGTTTTATCAGGGTCAGTAATAGTCCTTATTCTTCTCCAGTTATTTTAGTAAGGAAAAAGGATGACACTTGGAGAATGTGTATGGATTATAGAGGCCTTAATCTCATCACTATTAAGGACAAATTCCCCATTTCGCTAATTGACGAGTTGTATGAAGCCCAGTTTTTCTCTAAGCTAGACCTACAATCTGGCTACCATCAAATTCGAATGCATCCAAGTGATATTGAGAAGACTTCATTCTGAACTCATGATGGGCATTATGAGTTTTTGGTTATGCCCTTTAGGTTAACAAATGCTCCGGCCACATTCCAATGTCTTATGAACGAAGATCTTATCTGCGGAAATTTATCCTCGTATTTTTTGATGACATATTAGTGTATAGCCAGTCTTGTTCATTTGGAGCATCTAAGAGTGGTCTTTCAACTTTTGCAAGGCCATACCTTGTTTGTCAAGAAAACAAAGTGTGCATTTGGTCAAACCCAAGTGGAGTATCTGGGCCATATAGTGTCTAAAGAAGGGGTTGCAGCTGATCCTTCTAAATTGGAGGCTATTGCTTAGTGGCCTATTCCCACCTCCATTAAAGCTTTGCGAGGATTTCTTGGATTGACGGGCTACTATAGGAAATTTATTCCTGGTTTCGGCAAGATTGTTAGTCCTCTCACAGTACTCACCAAGAAAGACAATTTCAAGTGGTCTGATTCAGCAATTACAGCAATTAATGAATTGAAACAGGCTATGTTGTCTCCACAAGTCCTAGCCCTCCCTGATTTTTCCCAACCTTTCGTTATTGAAAGTGATGCATCAGGCTTTGGAATTGGAGCTGTCCTCCCGCAAGGTGGCAAACCTATTGCCTTTACTAGTAAGGCACTCAGTGTAAGGAACCAAAACTTGTCTGCTTATGAACAGGAGATGATGGCTATCATACATGCCATTAAAAAATGGCAGTCCTACTTGGTCAGGAGACACTTCATCATCAAAACAGATCATCATAGTCTGAAATACTTTCTGGAAAATAGGGCCAATACTCCATTTCAGCAAAAATGGGTGTCTAAATTGCTTGGTTTTAATTAGGAGATTCAATATAAGAAAGGCTGTTATAACCAGGTGGCAGATGCACTTTCTAGAATTCCTATTGACGAAGTTTCTCAACATTTTAGTATGGAATTGGCTGCAATTTCATACCCGTATCTCAGTTGGTTAGATGATTTGAGACGTCACACTGAACAAGATGCTTGGATACTATACAAGATGCAGGAATTCCTACATCCTTCAGACTCTACGTCACTGAATTCCTTGAAGTTTACTGTTGAGAATGGGTTTCTGAGATACAAAGGGCGAATTGTTTTGAGCCCTACAAGTTCGTGGCTCCAGAAAGTCTTTGACGAACATCACAACAGTCCTGTTGCTGGTCATGCTGGATTTTTGAAGACATATAAGAGGCTTTCCTGATCTTTTTATTGGGTTGGCATGAAAAAAGACATTAAGGACAAGGTTGCCAACTGTCAGATATGCCAACAACACAAGTACGAGACCTTAGCTCCTGCAGGATTGCTGCAGCCCTTACCTATTCCTTCACAGGTCTGGACTGACATATCCATGGATTTCATCATTGGTCTACCTCCATGTCGAGGAAAAACTGTCATTTGGGTAGTTGTGGATCGCTTATCCAAATATGCCCATTTTTTACCTCTATCTCATCCTTATACTGCAACTTCGGTGGCCTTTTTATTTGTGGAGCATATTTTTAAGCTTCATGGCATGCCTGCATCTATTATCTGTGATAGAGACTCGGTTTTTATGAGCAAGTTCTGGAAAGCATTTTTTTCATTGCATGGATCCTCACTATGTTTCAGCTCCGGTTATCACCCTCAAACTGATGGCCAAACAGAGGTGGTAAACCGGTGTTTGGAAACTTAGTTGCAATGTTTTTGTAGTCTTCAGCCCAAAAAATGGACCTTTTGGTTACCATGGGCAGAGTGGAGCTTTAATACAGCCTATCATTCTGCTACTAAACTCTGCCCTTATGAAGTGGTGTATGGTCAGCCTCCACCTGAGATTCCAGTGTATGAAGCTAGTACTACTAATTTGGAAATGGTGGATCGATGTTTGTTGGAAAGAAATCGCATTTTATCTCTCTTGAAGGCCAATTTAGCAGCAGCACAAAATCGAATGACAGTCCAGGCTAATAAGCGTCGAACTGAAAGGGTTTTTGAGGTGGGTGACTTAGTCTATCTGAGGCTGGTTCCTTATCAACATATGTCATTGCCCTCTCATCCATTTCACAAGTTGCAGCCTCGGTTTTATGGTCCTTTTGAAGTGTTAGCACGAGTGGGTTCTGTTGCTTATAGGTTGAAACTCCCAACCAACTCTAAGCTTCATCCAGTGTTCCATGTTTCGTGTCTTAAGAAACATTTGGGGCCTACTATTCAACCTACGATTCAACTACCTGTGTTAACTGATGATGGTATGTTACACGATGTTCCTGTGGCTATTTTGGACAGACGGATGGTGAATAAGGGTACAACTGCAATTACGGAAGTGTTGGTACATTGGCAAAATCATACTCCAGAGGAAGCTACATGGGAGACTTATTCAGACTTAAAGTTGCACTTTCCAGGAGTTGCTCAGCTTTAATACATTGTCCTTGGCGAAATTTTTCTGTTTTTCAAGTCTTGTATACAAGCCTTGTTTTGGGGGGGGGGGGTATTGATAGGATCATGTGTGATAATCATGTGTGATAACTGAATTGGTTGATAAGTGAGCATTGTATTAGTGCTGACTAGGACAGATATGTGCGGTTAAAAGGATAAGGTTGTTAGTAGGAAGCTTACGGAGGAAGCTAACTAGCTACTATATTAGGAAGGGTTGTAAAGGGAAAAGGTTGTTGTATTTGTTGTTAATTGCAATAGAAAGTTACTCGTTACTGCTACATAGAAGTCAAGATGCAGAGTTAGAGTTCTATCAAATTAGGAAAAAAAATTTAGAGAAGGAAGAAGCCGGTAGCCATGCCTCCGATGATCACTCAACCCCAAAACAACTTCAGCCTCCCTCTCCAATCGAGGCAAACCCCGCCGAACCCAATCCTTCCCATCTCTCGCCGCCTCCCTCCCCTTTACTAGTCCAACGACAGAGATTGAGATTCTTATATATATATATATATATATATATATATATATATGATAGATATACATATATGCACCCAAGCCCCTCCTGCGTTGATTCCGACTTCCATTTTTTTATGTCATGATCATGAAGATAAAAACAAAGGCAGAGAAGGTGGAGAAGATGACCCATTATTTTTATTTTTTCTAATAAATTAACTCAGAGGCAGAGAAGATTGAGATTCTTATTTAATATTAATATTATTTAACAGAGTTAGATGTTGTTAACTTTGGGGCAGGTGTCAAGCGATGACGTTAGGCACAGAGAAGATCTGGACTGTATAAGACTAGAAAGTAACTAAGAAGCCTATAGTACCCGATTAGCAGTAACCTATCGACAACATTGTAACGACACTCACAATCTTATTGAAAACAAAGTCATTGTATACAGATATTTGATTTCAACGATGGTAAACTTGTTCCTAAAGTAGATGTATGTATACAATGATATCGGTTTTAAGTTAACTCGGTACAATATATCTAAAGAGGATCCTAAAAGAAACACTCACGGTAAGAGATGGGAAATAAAGGGAGATGACTATGATGATACACTCACAGTTTTTGAAGTTTAAAGAGTAAAAATGGAAGATGACCATAATGAAGAGCAACACTCACAGTTTTTGAAGTTTGCTCCAGTTTCCAATAAATTCAGGTATCTTCCCTGATAATTGGCTCCCACCTATCCTACTGCAAGCATTAAAAGGAGATGAGAAATTCTGTGTAAAAATTATGCACTTTCGTATAATCAAGCCATTTTGCATAACTTACAAATCAATTAAGTTCTTCAGATTTCTGTACGATTCTGGTATCGTACCAGTAAAATTGTTTCCTGAAAAAAGGCTGTTGAAACATACAAAAGAGTCATAAGATAATCCAATGAATTTGTGAAACATTTACACTACCATACAAAATAGCAAAAATTTCACGAAATTTGGATTTTTGAAAAAGTTTGGCCAAAAGAAGAAATGAGAATGCAAACTTACATTTTTTCCAATTGAGTCAACTTCCCGAGGTTTTGCGGAAGAGGGCCTTCAAACTGATTGTCTTCCAAGTCCCTGGAAAAAATGTAATTGGTCAATCAAGGTTATAATATTCCTTTTTTTTTAATTATCAATAAGTAAATAAAATAATTACAAAACTTACAGCTCTCTGAGTAAAGTAAAGCTATCAGTAGGAATTAAACCATTTAGTCGATTCCCCAAAAGATACCTGCAACACACCAACAACAGTTACATGCCATGCCAGATAATAAATGCATCCGTGCAGCCATTATTTAAGGTCCTTAGAAATCACTTACAGAAAACGAATGGGGGAGCGGGAAAGGCTGGCAGGGATTGATCCACTAATGTAGTTGCGAGTGAAATCACTGTTTTATGTGAACAAGTATTAGAAATTCATATCCATAATCCATAATGCAGTTAATGTGCATAACAAATTTAAAATAATAACGTAATCACTTACATTTTTTCCAACCGTGTAAGATTTCCGAGTTCCTCAGGTATAACTCCAGTTAAATTTAAACCCTTCATCTCACTGTAAAACCAGCATTTAAAGCAAAACTAATCATTATAAAGGAATGATAGAATTCAAAACAATAGAACCAACAAAGTCATAGCGACTTTAAAGCAACAGTTAAATTAAAGCTTATTAATCAGTTGTACTAAAAACAATAAAACTTTAAGCTAATGGAGCCTTACATGACTGTGACATGGCAAGTATGGTTTGGAAAGGAACACTTGCAAGTCACATTGCTGAAAATTTGTTTAGCAAAGTATTTGAAGAAGCCTGCTCCACCATCTTGGCAAGAACTTTGGCTGATATTCTTCCAGTGAGGGTTTCGTAATTTTCTAGAAATTGTTTCCAAAGTTTTCACTGTGAAACAAAGACAGCTCTTGGTCAAAATCACATGCAATGAAAAAGGCATGGTCAATCATACATGTTCACCCTACAAAGGCCTAATTGAATAAAAACAATGCTAAATCCTTCACGTGTTGCAACTCAGTTGCTCCGAAAAACATAAAAGTACATGTTTAAACCAATAAGAATTGCCACATCATTTAATTATTGGTAATAAGAAATGGATTAGAATTCTCTCCCTCCCTCTTTCCATCCCCTTCCATCCCCTCCTCTCACATTTTCTTATTTTGTCTTTCTCTTGCTATAAAAAATTAATATAAGATGTTGACATGGCTTAACCGTAACCGTTCAAATAGGAGGGAAGGGAAGGAGAGGAAAAAAAAAAGGAAAGAGGAATCCTACTCCATAAGAAATTACCATATTATGCAATTATTGGTGCTTGTGAGGCAAGCAACATATACAACAAATCAAACAGATGAATCCTTTACTGCCAAACTATGCAAGTTGCACTCATATAAATTGTTTAAGAACCATTATGTCTATTGGTTTAGTAAATCAGGGTAAAGAAGTTGTAAAAACCCAATTCCTCTGCACTTAAAGAAATACAACGATGGAAAAGATTGTGGAAATTTTGAAACTTTTATACTAATCAGTAGCAATTTCCCAAATTCTCTTTTTGCTTGTAATTTTTTAATAAAAAAATTCATGAAAAATGTCAAAACAAAACAAAATGATAGTGATGTAGAGAAGAATGAAATATTAGATCATAAAATTATAAGAGCATATCTAAAGAAACAACCAAACTCACTCCAACCGATGTGCTATTTTCTTATGAATGTCATCACCACCTTTAGCCGTCAATTTTGACGTGGAGTGCTTAGGCATTGTTTCATATTTGTTATTTCATTAACGCAATTTAGTTGAGGAAACAATGGTAGCCATATCGACTAGAGTAAATGCACTCTCCCTATTTTCACCTTCAAATCACCCAATTATTTTGGATTATTTAAAGTAAATATTCTTTGTTTAAAAAGAAGTGGCTCTGTGCCAATTCCAATTTCCATGGACTAGCAAAAAAGGAAAATAGAAAGTTAGCTAGCCCACCCCGTTAAATAGATAATGAGCCTGAATATATGGGTTAACTAACGGATGGGCTGAAAAGAGGATTTAATCTCGACCGTGCAAACCCAAAGTTTCCCTATGACATATTCATTCGGGTCAAAACCGGTATGTCGAAATTTTAGTCAAGGTTATAAAAGACCTAGGCGTTAGTTGGGCGACAGGCTGGAACCTAACGCTTAGACGGATTTAAGTAAATCTATTATATTTCGTATAAACAAGTGTCTGTTTATACTTAAAATATATATAATTTAATCATAAACTATAAAATAGAATGATATATATATATATATATATATATATATATTATAAAGTATTATAACGTAATCAAAATATAAGAAGTAAACATATAATGTGTGTTTATTTAGGTGTTCAATAAGTCTCTTACAAATTATTAGAAACAATAAAATGCAAAAGAAAAGTTATCTATTTTTTATTTAAGTTAGTTGCAAATGTGTCTAGGCGGTTTAGGCAGAAGCCTCAGTAGGTCTAGACGTCATTTCTTAATTTTCAAACGTCTAAACATTAATCGGAGCGGTGGCCAACCGCCTATCACCTAGGCAGAGATTTTTAGAACAGTGGTTTTAGTCTACTCATGTCATGTGTGTGTCGGAAATATTCTGATCGGTGGGAAGTCGCCGGCCTTAGGAGAATGAGATGCCGGCGAGAGACCTAAACCATAAACCCAACGCCCCAAAACCCTAATTAGTGTTAAACAAATGTCCAGTCCATGTTTACATAGTATGATTTTTCAATGAAATCATATCAGGACAGAACATCCATTTTCGTGGGTTCAGAAGAAGATTTGAAAGCTTCATGCTTTAACTAAGCAATGCCTGATGGCTATCTCCTAGGGTTTGAAATTTCTGAAAATAGAAACTGAAACAGAGAAGACACAGATGCATGGTAACAAGTCCAAAAACAAACAATGAGGAAAATTCCAAATTTCTTTGCTTTCCGAGAAGAATTTTCCCAGGAACCAAACAGAGCAGAGCATTTCTTACAACACAAAACCAACTGCAACCATCCTCACAAAGCAACAAAAATCTTTACAAAACCCAAAATTATTCAAGAACATCATATTTGCAGTAAAAGTTAGAGAAATTTAAAGCGAGAAGGAAAATGATGGTTTTATTTTGTGCTGACCTTCTTCCAGAGGCAGAAGCTGAGCACAACTCAAAGCCAGAAACCCGATCAGGAGACCAACAAAAATCACAGAACTCGACATTGTCGTGATCACGACGCAAAAACAAAAACAGAGAGTGTGTTGGTAGCTTTGCAAGAAAGAGTGGTTTTTGTTTTAAATTTTTAATGGTTTTTTCTGAATGTGATTTTTGGTTCTGAAAAGAAAGCTTCAAACTCTTGTCAATCAAAATTGCAAAAACTTTTTGGCTCTGTAATTTTACTTACTCCTCATGAGAGAGAAAGATGGAGGAGAGAGAGAGAGAGAGAGGCACAGCTAGTTAATTAAATTAAGTTTCCCTTTTTGGTATTGGGCCAGAAATCTGAAGCTAGCTACTCTCACTCCAATTTTAGTATAAGAAAGCAACTTCTTCTGCCTTTGGGAAGAGGATCAGAAAGTTCACAAGTTTATTATTTTTTTATGAACTTAAAATGGTTTTGCCTTTGATGTGTCTTTTCTATCAGTCTGAGGAAGGAATGAGTGTTGTCAACTCCTCTCATCTCCAGTCTCCACTCTCTCATTCAAACGTGTACTAAAATTTAATTTTTAAGTCAAAAATAATATTTTTCTGCTTTAATAGTTGGAATTAAAATTTTAATTTGAGATTATTAAAAAATAAATTTTTGTTAAGTTATTTTTTCTATAAAATAAAATTTATGTAAAATATCATAATTTATTGTTATGAACATTTTAATAAAAAAATATTTAGATTTCGATAAAATTTCAAAATTCACTAAACCGACCCATTAAACATGTATATATAGTACGTAAATATATGTGTGTATTATTCGGTCTTTCTTAAAAAAAAGTTAATACTTGTTTATTATATTCTTTTTCTTTTAAAAGTGTAACATTTTACGTGTGTTATTAAAAACTTTGTGAAATAATGTGTATAAAACGTGACCTACACTCATAATACAGAATCAGTAAGTTGGAGTTTTTTTTTTAAAGGTATAATTTAACACATTATTCTTACGGAAAATTGAAGTTTATATATTAAAAAAATATTAAATTGTATAATACACATAGAATTAGTTGTAGAAAGTCATTCATGTATGATGTGGAAAATTACAAAAGGGGTACAGTGGCCTTCACGTTAATTATTATCAGATTAAAATTCAGTCCAACCCCATTTTTAAGTTCTAATTATCCCCCCAGTGTATTTATGTGTTTACATTAGGGGTGCAAGTTGGAATATTATTTCTGATTCCACCAATAAAATTTCTGAATCGTAATCCAAAAATTTTGAATTCAAATATTTTTCTGAAAAATTAAAATGGAAATAGGAATGCATTCAGAGATTCCAAAAGAATTTCCAGGGCGAAGTTTTTGGAGTGTTATGAACTTATTCCGATTCCACCAATAAAATTTTCGAATCCGAACATAAAAATTTTGAATTCGAATATTTTATGAAAAATTGAAATGGGAACAGGAATGCATTTAGAGATTCTAAAAATTTGGAACCAAAGTGAAGTTTGTGGAGTGTTCCGAACTTATTTTGATTCTACCAATAAAATTTCTGAATTTGAACCTAAAAATTCGGAATCCGAATATTTTCTGAAAATTGAAACAAAAATAGGAGTGCACTTAGAGAGGCACAGCTGGTTAATTAAATTAAGTTTCCCTTTTTGGTATTGGGGCAGAAATATGAAGCTAGCTACTCTTACTCCAATTTTAGTATCAGAAAGTAACTTCTTCTGCCTTTGGGAAGAGGATCAGAAAGTTCACAAGTTTATTATTTTTTTATGAACTTAAAATGGTTTTGCCTTTGATGTGTCTCCTCTCATCTCCAGTCTCCACTCTCTCATTCAAACGTGTCTTAAAATTTAGGTTCAAAAATACTATTTTTCTGTTTAATAGTTTGGGTTAAAATTTTAGTTTGAATTATTAAAAAGTAAATTTTGGCTAGATTATTTTTTTTGTAAAATAAAAGTTGAAAATTCACTAAACTGACCCATTAAATATGTATATATAGTATGTAAATATATGTGTGTATTATTCAGCTCATTCTTTAAAAAAAAAAAAAACTAACGAAAAGTCCAAAAAAACTTTAGTATTAATGAAAAAAGACAAATAAATGTGCAGTAAATAGTACCAGAAAAAAAGTAAAATGTGTTTTTTCGTTAAAAGTGAACAGTTTTGTGTGTGTTTTGTTAAAACTCCCTTAAAAAAAATTAATACTTGTTTATTATATTCTTTTTCTTTAAAAAAATGTAACATTTTTCGTGTATTATTAAAAACTTTGTGAAATAATGTGTACAAAATGTGACCTACATTCATAATGCAGAATAAGTACGTTGGAGTTATAAAATAATAAAATACTAAAAATAATAAAAAGGTGTAATTTAACACATTATTCATACTCCGCGACATCAAAAACTGCTTTTTCCGATGTTAGAAGAAAACCAAATTCTAAGCTTAGTGATCTTAGTCTTACGTTAAAAAAAACAGACAACAAAAGGAGAGGGAAAGGGACACAGAGGTGAGTGTTTTCCTAGTTCATGTAAGATGCAAGAAAGAATGAGCCAAAGACATGGAGTGAGTAAAATTACAGGTTTGGCATATTGGTTGTATTATTTCCCTTTCCAGTTTTGGGCTATTTCCGTTTCCTAGTTCATGTAAGATGCAAGAACGAAAGCAAGATGAAACTAACTTCTTCATTGATCCATGTAAAGGACGAATTTTCTATTCAATCACGGAGTATGGAACACTGCAACTGTTTTAACCATTAGAATTTTTCGTTCATTTGATTATTTGGAGACGAAAGCTTAGTATTAGTTCAAGGTAACTTCGTCATTGGATCATTTAAAAGGGGACTAAAAGCTATGACAATAAGAGCAATTTTTTAGTGTACCATAAGTAATACTACGGGTGGGCTAGCTAAAAGGTCTAATAAGCGTCTATGTGAGTAATAATGCTATATTGTCTCTTGAGAATGAAGATGTGTAAAATTTTATAAGCAAAATTTATGCAATTAGTTTATTTTCGAGCAAGACAAATACACATTAAAAATAGAATACAACCATAAGTTTTTTGAATTAGATAAAGGTATGAAGTTATCTACAAGGAGGTGCATTTGGATAAGTAATTATTGTCATGATTAGTGTTTAAAATATTCACAAAATTATTGGTATTTTTGTTAAAATATCCATGATAGCCCTTGTGAGTGGCTCCGTCACTGGGTGTCAATATTACCTTAAAGCAATTATCGTTGACTTATATTATAATACTTGGTATATCATTTTGTGTTTTATATAAACATAAAAATACTCATCGATAAAAAGAGTTGTAATTTATGGAAAAACAGTGGATGATGTTACTGACGTTCACTTACGTTCATCGATAAAAAGAGTTGTAACTTATATTATAATACTTGCTATATGGTTTACTTACATTCATAATACAGAACAATTACGTTGGAGTTTCAAAGGAACGTGTAATTTAACTCATTATTCATACGGAAAATCGAAGTATAATAAAAAGTTGTGTGTAATACACATAGAAGTGCCACGTAGAAAGTAATCCATGTATCGAGGTAAAATTACAAAGGGGTACCATGACCATTATGTTAACTATTATTAAACAAAAAAAAATGTGAGCGGTCCTGAATTCGATGCTCCTGAATTTGACGTGGCAAGATGAAATTCACCTTTTTAGAAAGAAAAAATAAAATAAAATTCAGCCAGCCCCATTTTAGAATTCTAACCTCGTCTCTAGTGTATTTATGTGTTTAGATTAGGGGTGCAAGTTGGAATATTATTTCTGATTCCGCTAGTAAATTTTTTTCTGCCAGTAAAACTTTAAAATTGAATATTTTTGGAAAATTTCAAACGGAAATGGGATGCTTTATAGATTCCAAAAATTTGGAATTTCTGATCCGAAGTTTTCGGAGTATTTCGAACTTATTTCAATAAAAAAAATTTGGGATTTCTGATTTTTTTTTAAACGTGAATTTCTCATATTATATTTTTAGTAATTAATTCTTAACTTACCTTGTTTTGGTCGAATAGGTGAGTCAGACGATCACATGACTTATTACTCACGTTGAAGATGATCACTTTTAAGAGAAATTTGCTTAAATATTACCTGAACTTGTTGTAGGGGGTGTAGAAATTTAACATCTAATCTAAAAACAATTCATTATTAGTTAACAACTTAAACCTTGCTTCGTGTTGTAATTTACCATCTACGGTCAGTTGATGACAAGACATTATAAGAACACAACTTATTTGATGACAAGACATTATAAGAACACAACTTATTTACCGTATCAATTTTACAATAGACATTGATTAATTACCCATTATAAAAAGTGATCATTTACCACAGATTTAATCAGCATGTTATGAATATTTTACAATGGACAAGTATGGCCGGTCATAATAAAACAATTTATTGACACGGTCTTAATAGTTCAAGTGATATGACTAAAAGCAGCATTCTTCTTCTTCATAGAATATCTTCACCATGCCATGGATGATCTTATCAACACCGTAGATGATTTCTTACTTGTACTTTCCATAAACTGATCAGAGAGCTTAATTGCTTTGATTGATGATAAATTAATGCACTAATCTAGTTTACTTACTAGCACGTGATAGCTTGTGATGAGGTGTAATCATTAGCAGTAGCAGCATTGTGTGTATAGGTACGTAAACAATTACTACTATCCAAGGAAGAAAATATCCGTAATATCGGAAATATCGGTAGTCCGAAACACGGAAATATCGATGAAAATATCGGGATAATATCGATATCGATAAAAATTACATAGAAACCACGGAAATTGTAAGAAAAACTTGGAAATTTTTATTGAAACTTTGCAGGATGTTTATTTAGTCAATTATCTATTAGTTTATCACAAAAAATTGGAAGAAAATGCATTACATGATGGATTTAACTGATTTAAGTTGATTATACAGCGAGCTGGCAAACACTGTGAGTGAATAAAATATATAGTAATTAATGAAAAAAAAATTAAACACACCATAATCATTTATATATAATGATTTACTACAACTTTCAAGTAAAACTCATATTTTAGT